ACCACTTCACTCGCTTTAAAATTAATGTCAAACTAGACTCGACAAATTCACCCATTTTGAAAACATGAATTCAAAAAAGAACAAATAAAAACGCATTGTGTCCCCAAGTTGTAACCCAGAACTGTGGCTCCGCAAATCCACCATCATTACAAAAGCCTATTCGCTAGAGGGATAACCAAATCAATTCACTGCACTAATGAACAATTTTAAACACCTTTTCTATTTGTAAAATTAAGACTCTAATGAGCTCATTAAGTTTACGTGTTCTGCTTAGTGTTTGCAATAAAGCTCCAAACTTCAATTTGCGCCACAGTCCCAATCACTTTGCCTTGAGGCGACAAACACCTCCTTCTAACAGGGTTATTGCATTAAGAACACGTAAGTAGCTCTCTTTACACTTCAACGGATCATTAACCTGCTGAGAATTAATCCTTTTCAAAGGAAAACCCACTCTGCCTTTAACGAGGTGCTGTTATTCATTATTCAGAGTCATTTACAATTCTAAAGAACTCTTCTACTTTGACAAACTTACCATTGCCTGTCCAAACTTGACGCTGCTCAGTTTCCCCCGATGTGATGTAGGCGATGTTCTCTCAAGAAAAAAAATCCGACACGTCCTTAGAAGACCCTGGATGTGCGTAGTACAAGATGTTTTGAGATTTAAAGCAAGGCTTTGCACCACGGAACACTCACGGGACGCTCCAGACAGATTTGTGAGTGTGATCGACGTCATAATAATCCTTACATTTGATATATAGCACCTTATCATGTCGTTAAGTCGTTCAAACAGCTTCACAGAATACAATAGAAAGTGGATTCATTGTGTGTTTTGTGGGCGAAACGCGGCAGCCAACTGCACACAGCAGTGTCCCACAAACATTTGTGGATTAAGTGACCAAATTTTTTTTTTTTGGGGGGGGGGGGGCGTTAAGAGACAGATGCGAGGCAATTCCATTTTGTACCCAAAATATAAAAACTACATCACACGTTTTAGTTGCTCAACCAGATGCCATTGCTATGCTTAGGAGTCTCTAAACCAAATTACTCAAGAGTTCCACATAGGCATGGAAATTTCTCTTCATCTGGAATAGAGTACGTTCTCTCCCTCTCTCCGAGTGCATCCTGCACATCTGATCTCACAACGTATGAGACACAGGTGAGTGAGAACCAAAGTTTGTGGCCCCAAAGTGTGCATTGGGATGCTGCTCGAATTTAACCAGCTATTTTGCATGCCTCAGCCTTACTTCTTTTCCATTTCACCAAAGGTTGTTCCTCATCCTGACCTTCCACACGGACCCCGCTCTACACATACACCAAAGATCAGTGCCTCACCTTCTGCTTAAAGACGTCCTTTGCTTTTAGCCCACTGGCTCTAACGATGGGCTGAAACAAGCGACAAGCTGCAGCAGACAAAATGGATATAATCGAATCAGAAAATAAAAGAAACTTTAAACACTCTTTAGTGAAAATTTGTTCGATCACTTGCCATAAACGTTCTAGCCCGCCATCTCCATCTGTCATACCCAGTAGGCATTTAAGCAGCATGAAACCCCCTAGGTTCCCACAATCAAATCATTTAGTAGAAGGTAAGCCTAACGATGGAGAAATGATCTGTGAGGTGAAACCTCAAACATTCTGTGTTGATTTGAACACTGTTCCTGAAAGAGATGTTGCTACAATAGTCATAGGTAATTCCTCCTGTTAAAGGCACAGCCTAAGATTTTTAAAAATAATCCTTGCATTCGATATAGCACATGATCACATCATTGAGACTTCTCAAAGCGCTTCACAGAATATACTGTAAAGTGAATTGACTATATTTTATGGGCAAAACGCATATATCCTAAGGAGGGCGGGGGTAAAATGAATTGCTGGGATGGTTTTTGGTAAATGCTGTAGTTTGTTGAATAATCCACTCTCCCTGATCCTGAACCCCAGCTCGGGTTCAAATCTCTGACAGTCCAGCGCCTTGGGATGTCCTCCCGACATGAAAGGCCCTGTACATGTGTCATTTTGTATTGTATTTAAAGAGCCCTTCTCTGTTGGTAAAAACAGTTAAGAAAGCGTGCGCTCCCCTTTCAAACCCCTGCCCGCGACTCCAGCCTGCTCACACAATGCAACGTGAACGAAAGTTGCAAGTTTCTGGATGGCATTTATTCCCCGAATCATTTCATTTCCAGCGCAATTTGAATTGGCACAGAGTTGTCGAGTAGACCGCAAGCACTCGTCGGAGGGCCTTTGATAAGCCACTTACCTTTTATCTCCACCTCTGCCCTTTTCCAAACACAGGGTGCAACATACTTCAATCATGCCAAACTGAAGGAGGCTGGATAAGTCTACGTTATTCTATTCATAGAGGCATAGAGACCTGAAAATAAATCTCTGGTTGAATGACAACAGATCAATGCCAGTTACACCAAATTGGTAAATCTGTTTTTGTCCCCCTCCTGCCCACACTGCCCAAGGCGTCAGATTTCAATATGTACCCTTTTTTTTTTGGTGGGTTTGGTGGGATCTGAACACAACGATGAGTGGATCAAAGCTCGACCGCACCAATAAATTAGCATTTGGCCACAAAACACGCAGTCGCCTCACTTTACAATATATCCAATGGGACGTCGTCCTGACATGAGAGGCGGTATAACAAATGTAGTAGTATCGTCAAATCTTCAGTTCTACCAGTGTCCTGGGAGTATAGATTGGTACTTTATGAACCTGTACAAAATAAAAGCAGGTTTTGAAAAGTTTCACTTATCTGCCAGCAACGATATACTGTATTGCTTGTTAAAGTGCTTTGGGTTTTTTTTTGGTACAAGCTGCAGGTATGCTTGCTGTCACAACAAATATCTGATTTTATAGTTTCTCTTCTCTCCCCATCTACTTTTCAGCAGAATTCACAAACAAGAAGTTGCACTATATGTATGTATATATATATATATATGTATATATATAACGCCCCTCACGCAGGGTAGCATTCCAGAGCGCATTTGCCACTCACCGAACCATTCATTCGCGTGGAACTTTGCTGTGAATCTAATATACGTGTATCTGGAAGAAAAAGTGCATCTACACGGCAGCAGTAATTGTAACACAGATAATCTGGAAACCCGCGCGAGTGACGTGTTAGTGAAAACTGACAGCAACCACTCAACCCAGAGTCGGAAGACAAGAAGGAATGATTCCTTGGAGTGATGTGTACCTGGTTTTTAATACAAAAAAATAATAATCGATGCTCGCACTCTGTATATATTCCTTCCAGCGTGTCGTTGAAATGTCTCAAAGTGCTTCGCAGTGTTTCACTGGGAAGTGGCCGTGTGTTTTTGTACAATTTGCGGGCGAACTCATTAAGCATCAAGTTATATCACAAGCTCCTGGAGTAGCATCAGTACTTTGGACACACAACTCTTCACAGCTCTCTCTACTTGTTCACGAACAAAGGCGGAGCGCAGTGTAAGTGCACATCATCGAGGAATCACACATCACACAGCACTTCACCCGCCAAGACAACAACTTGACATTTTCCACCCACGAATGGGAAGCCACAGGTGGGTTTTCCCCACCGGAAACTTTGGCCTTCGTCTGGGCAATCCTTACAAGTGACAAAATCTTGTCTGTGTGCACCAAGGAAGGAGCAGCGAACGAGAATGAGGGGCAAATATGCTGTCACCTGGCAACATCATTCCACGATTGTTTGTGGAACGCTGCTGTGCGCAATTGGCTGCCACATTTCACCCACAAAATATACAGTCAATTCATTTTACAGTATATTCTGTGAAGCACTTTGAGACGTCTCGAGGACGTGATAAGGGGCTGTATCAAATGCAAGGATTATTATTATTATTATCTTCCTTCCTTGGCCCTCAGATTTGAACGTTCTTTCTATTGGCACCAGGATCAAGGGATCTGAAGAAAATAAACTGAAAAATTTTTTGCACCTCAGTCTACCCTTTGAGAGCACAGCCCACACAATGGGTTAGTATCAAAGAGCACGGTTGGGTGTATCAATTGACATAGATACGACCTGAATAGAATACACCATTACATCCTAGAAAATCAACTTCAGTACTAAAAATCTGAAAATACTTTAGACATTTTCCATCATCACAGGCATTTATCTTTAAAGAACAATATGAAGTTTCGAAATCATTCACAGAGTCTCCAGTTCTCAGGCATGGTCATGTGTTCCTTTACAAACCATCGCTACAAAATTTATTCAAAAGGAAATGTACCCGGAGATTGCATTTCGATAATTTAATAATTTATTAATCTAAAAAAAGTGTGTAAAAGTATAGCTCTCATCCACAAGATATATGAATGACATTAAAATGCCTGCAGGTTTTTATCAAACTCGCTTTTAGTGTATTTTGTTTCAGCAATACAGAATTAAAATGAACTTCACTTATTTTATTTTATATAAAAGAAGCCCACAGCAAAATGCTCAGAAGAAAAAACTTCATATTGGCGTGAAATGTACAGCTTTTACATTTAAAAATGTTCTGAAATATACATACAAGCATGCTAGCAAACCCAGGTCGCCAGTAGACAAACAGTATGTATGTTTGTCACTCCTTGAACCTCGGATGCTGTCCAACAGAAGAAAACAAAAATCCTCTGTAAATGAATTCCGTTGTTCAACTAGGGCTTGTATGCTTCAAACTTCTTAAAAATCCACAACTAAAATATGCATATCCATGGGAAATATACATACAACTTTCTCACATTGAAGTACATAATATAGGATTTTATCTATTGCCATTTATTTATTTTTTTTTGCACAAAAACCTATAAATATTACTTCACCAGAATCTTTTAACTTAAAACTTAAATAAAATGATGGAGGCCTCAACTTTTGCACCTCCAAAAAAAATAAGAAGATGAGTATTTAACTTCATCAGTAAAGTCCGAGATAAAAATGGCCTTGAGATTGAAGCAACCCATTTTCACCTGCAAGTCTGATGAATTCTGGGAGGGGTGGGGGGGGAAACGGGGGTGGGTGGGGGGGGGAAGAGAGAGAGAGGGAGAGGAAAAATGACAATAAAATGGAAAAAATTACAAACTTCTACTTACAATTCTCACCAAGTTAACTTTTTGTACAATTTTACAATCTTGATTTTCCTCTTCAAAAGGCCTTGTGAAATTTTTCTGATTAAGAAAAATAGTACTGCAATTTGTTCAATTTTACACTGTACACAATAGATACAAACGTTTTCGATATATCTGGTTTATATCTACATTACAAAGAAAGTCACCAAAGGCGACCCAAATGCACAATAAAATATCATTTACAAGCACTAGCTAGTTGATATTTTCCCCCACTATATTTTTTCCTCGATTTCACAATACTGTTTTTTTTAATAATGTACAATTTATCATGAAAAATAAATTCTGTGTTGTAGCAATGATGACAAGTGTAGTTTTAGAAGCTGTAACATAAAAAAATTCAAAAAGTTATTGATGTGGAAGAGCTTTATAATGTACGCCATTGATGCACCAAGACCGAGAAAAGTTCATTGCAAGATGATGCTCACGCGTTGAAAGAATTAACGAGGAGTGAATTCCAATTCTCTCAGAAATTATATTTGCTCAAAATGTGACTTTTTCTTTCCCTTATAAAGATCTTCAGAGCACTGATAAATGGCTGATGGATGTAGCTTCATTTTCGTGGTCAGGACAGGGGAGTTAGAACAGTGGAACAGGACTTTTGAGCTTCAAAGCAAATTCATAATGGCGTTGTACATCTGAGTAAGCACCACAAAGTGTACGGGGAGACAGGACTGCCGGTCTTGTGTAGCAGGGTTGCAATTCAGCCAGGATAAGGCGTTGTACTGCTCCAGTACAAACCTGAAAAGGCAAAAGGATATTCAGTATAACAATACTAGATATATATTTTTTAAAAGTACCAGTTGACTTACAGCCACATTGTTAACATGCAGTGATATTGATACAAACCTCAAGACGTCTGATGTTCTGTTGGAATCCAGAGGGTGAGGGTGTGAGTGCTTGCCAGGAAGCAGTTCATCAGATTGTGCCAGGGAGACGTGGTGATGTAGAGAGGCCTGCAGCAAGGGAGTGAGGTGGGGGTCAGGGGGAGAGAGACAGCAAATTCTCTGTCAATCACACTTCAGCTATAAACAACCTGTGGTTTAGCAGCAAACACCACGGTTTCAACAGAGGTGTGAATGATGGGAAAACGCAAGTTGCAAGACTCTCAATTGTGAATAGATATCTCAGATATAGCTTGGACCAAACACTAAACATGACTAAACCCGGCAAGCTTCGTGTCACACAGGCTACGGGGCATGGTCTGGCTGTGCTTTAATCTTAATTCACTAGCCTCTGCGGCTTCTAATTCAATGATTTTCTTTGATTAGCATTACAGCAACAGAGATCGCAAGCTCCTTGGAAGGACTGAGAATAGTGGTTCCACTGAGTTGAACAGATCACCTGAAGGAGATGGTCCCACACTAGAAAAGTGGGGATTCACAGCAGGATGAGCGCAAAGCATGACCAAAGCAAAGAATTATCGGTCTATCAGGGTGCGATCTTATACTACTCTCAGATGACGGTCAATGCTTCCTTGGGAGAAGTATGAAGAATCACGCTTCCCAGTCTCTCACCCCTTCTCTCGTTTCCCCCCCATCCATTAAAAGAGGCCTTATGATTCCACTAAGCACTGCTCACATTGAATAAGAACATCTTCCTCTCTCTCGAACCTCGAAAGTGTTAGTGGACTCGTGTTCAGCTTCACTACACCAGAGTATATTGGCGATGTTTCAGAAATACACAGCCCTATTCTGTTCCTTGGCTGAACTTCTGGGTAAAACATGCACAAAAACAAGAAGTTGAGAGCACTTACTTTTAGAAAGAGTGGACATTGGTTTTGGGCGTGAGGACAGGCGGACCAAAACCACTGAGGAAGATTCTCAGCTTTTGCTGTCGAAACAAAATATCCAAGAGCCAGTGGCTGCTGTAGTACGTTTGCTACTTCCTCGTGGGCTTCTGTAGAGAGGAGCCTTTCCCCACCCTGACCCTGCAAACAAACATAAAATATATCTTACCTATTCAATTTAGCTTGTAACACGTTTCGTCTGTTAACGCTTAAATATATGGCTTGCAAAACTAAACATGAAGAATAAGGTATTACAATATGCTACAAATTTTAAGACTTGGGAATGGATATCAAACATTGACAAAACACAGCTCTTGTGTAAAAGCCCGAGAAAGACTTATGCAAAGTAGGAGCCATGTCAAACTTGCATAGAATACAAACTCTTGAACCAAAGTTGGGCAGATGTACAACTTAGGTGATTATACAATTGATGCAGATCAGACTTATGCGAGTTTTACTGTGGATCCAATGCAAAAATATAAAACATAAATGCTACAGTGCCATATGAAATAGCACTGCATTGTTGCGATCCATAGACGTTAACACTTTTATTAAAGAAGCGACTCAAGGCTTGATCGTGCCAGCTTACCCTGCCAGCCTCACTGATCTGTTGGAAGTGGGAGCCTGCACCCGTGCCAGTTGGAGAACCTGGAGACGGCACAGGAGAGGAGGTGGGGGATGGGTGCAGGTTACCGGTGATCAGAATCCGGATGTCATTGTCCAGGTCGTCGGCAAAAATATCCTCATCAAGAATTCCCATACCATCTGTTTGTGATAAAAGCAGGAAAAAACAAGAGACTTTAAGCAAAATATGAAGGCTATGAAAGGCCAAAAATAGCTTGTTTAAACAGCTCACTATTCTTGTGAATCATCAGTTAAGCCTACTTTGCACGTTATGTTCGAATGTGCAGGACAAATGAAAATACCGAAGGCATCACTGAAGCCCCCCACCCCCCAAAATGACAGAATCCAAAAGCACAAATTGTTACGTGTCAAGATCACACTGGGATTGAGCAAAGTGGTCAAATAAACAATCCGATGCACATTAACTGCCACACACACATAGCTGTTTGTGGGATTGTCGTGCGCAATTGGCTGCTGAGTTTCATCCACAATCCACAAATAAAGTCAATCCACGTTACAATATAATGTGTGAAACATTTTGAGACGTCTTAATGACGTGATGAGACGCTATATCAAATGAAAGTATTATTATTAGTATTATTATTATTCAGGGGGTGATCATTATGGCTTTAAATCCCTCGATGTGATGCAAGTTAACGCTCCTCAATGGCTCAGTGGGCAAAAACAATGTTGCTTAACAACCTCGATCAGAAAGCTGACTTACATGGACCAGAAAACCACAGGAACTCTTTTCTCTCTTCGATTCAGCGTTTTGAAGGGGTATCGATACAATACAAAATTACATTTGTATAGCGCCTTTCACGTCGGGAAGACTTCCCGAGGTGCTGATGGAACCAAAGGATCCACAAGCAGCACACTCAATGCATTGAAGGTTGCAAAGTTAAGCATGTCATAAAACTACTTCTAATATATATGTGTGTATATATATTTATATATTATATATATTGGCTGCCGCTTTTCGCCCACAAATATACGGTCAATTCACTTTACAGTCTATTCTGCGAAGCGCTTTAAGACGTCAAGAAGACTTGAAAAGAGCAATCAAATGCAAGGATTATTATTATTATATATAATAATAATATATATATATATATATATAGAGAGAGAGAGATATACAGAAAAAACACTTACCAGGATTAGCACTGAAACCAAGAACTTCCAGAGCTTCAGTTTGGTAATTGGCAGCAGCCACCTGAGTAGCAGCAGATGTTGGAAATACCAGAATGTGTGTACACGATGCGTCCTGTGGGGTGTTCAACTGAGAGGTTTGCAGATTGAGTGCGGTGCCTCGGCCAAACACAGAGCCCATCGTCACAGCATCTTAAAAACAGAGAGGTTCAGGCGACTTAATTCTGAACCGAGCGAAGATTTAAACGCAAGTTCAAAACGTGCATTGAAATGATTTTTTTTAAAAACGACTGTGGAAATTGTGCGAAGGACGACTTCAAATTTAAGACGCAACAAACCTGTCAGATTTATAAACCGAATATACAAAGGAAAATCGTTTTAAAGAAAAACATTGGTACGTACCAGGCATAACAACGAACGAACCCTGTGGCTCCAAGGAAACCAGGCAGGCACTGAGAATCGTGGGAGAGTCTGCTGCAGATATGCCACACATTTTGCAGGTTTCCTTCAACTGTTTACTGGTAGACTGCAGTGATCTCCGGCCTATGAGAATGCTCCAATCTAAGGAGAGACCATGGAGAAATCAGCCCGCAAAGAAGAAAACCTTCTGAGTAAAAACAGTCAACCCAATACATTTGTGGTATCAACAAAACAGATTCAATGGACAGTTTGACTGCTTGATACTTCATTGACATTTTCATTGGCAATTTTTCCTCCAATGCACAGAGGTGCTACAGTACGTGAATGATAGTCACTGCCTAGATTTACCACGACTGACCTTTGAGTTCTCCGTGACCTACTCTTCCAAGTCTTCCCATTACAATTCTCCACGGCAGCGATGTCATCTGCATGATTCCGACACACCATTCCCAGAGCTTCTGCAAGCCGATTTTACGAGCAGGCACTTTCGTCCTTCTTGCCCTGAAACACATCACAGCGGCACTTCAGATTTTCAGCTGGGTATCTGGCTTTTTTTTAAAATGGAAAAGCTGTTATATGCGTAAAGAATGAGCATCATTAACATGAAGACCACTGTTGCACATGTCACTGGAGCAGATGGGGATTCTGCTTTTAATTCACACAACTCAATCTGAATCAATTTGCTTTCAGTTAAGAACGGACCATACTCAGTGTACATCGAGCCAATTATGTGGAGGTATTCAGAGTGGCCATAAGCTCTCAGTGTGTTATTTGTGGTTCACGCACATGCAGTCATTCTCTATGCACTTTTTGTTAGCTTGCTTAAAGTAAAAAAAATTCACAGACTGCAAGAGGTTTCCGCGGGTGTCTGACACTCGCGGAAATCCATCACCATGCTTAAGAATATCCAAACCAAGAGTTCCATGCATCCCACCCACAGATGGAGATTCCAGAGACAAGATGGAATGGAAATGCACACACTCTTCCTGGAAGGACGCATCTTGCTTACCTAATTTCGGAAAATATTTGGTGCCGCTTGGCAAGAGCCAAGGCTTGGGGACCCCAGACTGTGAACTGGGATACTGCTGGAGTCTGACCAGCTAAAACCTCATAGCTTGCCATTGATATTAACTAGAGGCAACTAGAATTCCTACCTGTTCGGCACATCGATGTTCAAAATGCAGGTCTCCAGGAGCTCTCCATGGAGGTCTGTACAGGAAGCTAGTAGCCACCTCTGGTCATGGGACAAACAGTATCCAACAAAGAGCACATTGTACTTCTGGCTTGCCTCTCCAAAAGTCTCGCCTAGTTCAGTCTGCTTGTCTTTGATTGGTGCCAGGATATAAGGAGGTGAGTAAACTTGGATAGGGTGAGGACGCTGAAATTGTAAAACGATTTATTTATTTATTTTTAAGCACCCTTTCTCAAGCTGAAGCATTAATAAGATGTATTTAAAGAAAAGTTTGCTATCTTCAAGACATGTTAACAGGAGAAAGTTATGCTCTTCCTCGCAAGGAGGGAGGCAAACCAGAGACAGGTAAAAAAACGCAGTAGAAAACCTCTCAAGCACCCTGAAGCCAAGGAATGGCATCTTGGTACAAGCGGTTTAAACATTGCCTAAATGAGCTTTCACAATTGCTCTTAGGACAATCTACTTTCAGGTAGTCAACATGAACATAAACCCCCACAATTAAGAACATAAGAATTTGTAGACGAAAAACCAAAGTCCATCCAGTTCGTCTTCCAAAATTCCTGACAGTCACTTGCGCATGTCATGTCCTAAACTGTATATTGTATATCAATTCAATTATTTGAAGGAATATTCCTCAATACATCGGTAAGTAGGAACTGAATAGAACATTATAAAACAAGGTTCCAAATGTGCAATTCTACTACTGAACTTTTTATAAGGGTAACAAAATACCAAAAAAAAATTTAATTGGATAGATAACCAAACTCAGTACCACTTCATCAATTAGGTCTTTCACTTACAATTAAACACAATCTTTAATGCAAAATACAACATTAAAGTACATTTCTCTCAATTGATAATATGCCTGACCTTACGGCATTGTTTTTCAAACTCCACAGAATGATTATACAGATAAGTCAATGGGGTTAACAAAACAGTACGAATTTAGTAAATTGAAATGACAAGCCAGTACACACCTCCGAATTTTTAAGGGTCATATCTATTGTGGATGCAGGGCCAAAGCCAGTTAGTGATTTAATGTGGATCTGTGTAGGAAGCGGTCGTCTGCACTGAGTGTAAACTGAGAATGCCAGTGATTTTAAGTGCTGAATATAGAAGGTGTGATCATCTTTCACTGGTTGTAGTAGATACTGGCAAGGCACAATCTGAAACAAAGCAAAAAAAAACCACACACCATGTCTTCATTGCAGATCTCAAGGTAGTACAACAAACAGTACAGTACGATTTCAAAGCAAACAAAAATGTGATTGGTGAAATGTATATATGGCAAGATGTAAAACATTCTGCAGACAGTTATATTATTCGGTAGGTAGCTGCGTTTAACTTAATGTTTTGTGTTCAGTATCAACACGTGTAGCTTTCTCAAGCAAACGAGTCTGTGCAATTGACACTGACCCAATGCCGTAGAATTATGCAAACCAAGCTCCCCCATGTTTCAAGACGGGTTACCTGGATATTGAATGCATTCCTCATATGTTCTGGCAGATTATCCAGCATCTCTGTGTAGCATCGTAGCAGGCCTAGCAGCCATACACTAGTAAAAGACGACTCTTCTTCTGAGGAATATGTAAAAGGATCAACGATGTAGATAACCACGGCTGGCGGGTATGCATTGCTGTCAGCTGACTCAGGTTCAGTCGGAATTCCTATCCGCTCCCTTTCTGTAGTACTATTAATATTGAAAAGACAAAATAGAATATACAGTGACAAAGGAGGACTGACATTGTTCACTCACATCAATAACCCTGTACTTTTTTTTGCACCATTTTGTTGATCTTGTGTATGCAACGTACTCTTTGCTTTAGAGCAAAATAGCAATGATGTACTGTCAGGGAACATTACTGTAAAATTCCAAACAGTTTTAATTAACGGGTATCGCAGCACATTGGCATGACAACAATGCTGAAATGCAAGACCCATCTGTCACACCACTGGTTTGCTGATGTCTGCCAAGAATCTCCCTTTGGATCAGGAAAAAAGGAGTCTCAATGCTCCATGTTTCAGAGCATTATTGACAAAGGCCTCGGATTAAATTACGTAGAACATGCACACACATGGACAGACACACACCCATTCCCACAGTCAGTTGAGCTTTATCTAACACAAGTATTAACATTATCATTTTGGCTGGCAGAAGCCAAGAGAGCGATTTTGTAAAAGAAAATTAAAATCATATACATGAAACCTATATGTCTATCTAAAATTTATAAGGAAATAAAAATCCACTTTAGCAAATGGACCTATGTGTATTGAAGGGTAGCACCCCTAACACAGGGTAGCATCCTAGAGCGCTTGATAGTGGCAGAGCGTGACGCCGAGCTGGGGGAAAGTGACCATAAGCACAGCGAAGTGGAAGGTCTTCAGACGTGATCTGAAGCGAGGGAAGGAGGAGGCAAGGCGGAGGGAAAGAGGAAGAGTGTTCCAGAGTTTTGAGGTGTAGTGGCTGAAAGCGTGGTCACCGATGGTTGAACAGAGGGGAGGGCAACAGAGACTATCAGGAGGCCGGAGCCAGTCGAGCGAAGGTAGCAGATAGTGGGTTGGGGAGTAAGCAGGTTGGAGAGGTAGCGAGGTGCCAGGGCGTGAAGGGATTTGAAGACGAGTGTGAGGATCTTGAAATCGAAAAGCAGAAACATGGTAGGACAGCGCAAAAAAAATATTGCATTTGATTTGAGGAGACAGTCCAGCACATGCTCGATTCCAGCTTTGGAGTACAGAAAAAAAGCACTGAAGCTGACATTCCAAATTGATTGAGCAAGGATTGGAATGACTATCACAAATTAATTGAAGGAATCAAATTGTGCAGAAGAAAATCTTAACTACATTCTCATTTGCAAAAGGTTCTATAGACACCCAAGTACCACATAAAACGGATGCCCTCTATATCAGTGAACACTTGCAAATAGATATTTCTTCTATGGGAACATATGCTGAAGCATCAGTTACGCCTATATTATATTGTGTTTGTTCAATAAGAACAACTTGCTAAAGGGCTAATCTCATTAAGAGGCTTCTATTATCCATGTATTGCTTAATTACAATGTCAGATCAATCATGCATCTTAAAGACAAAATGAATACATTAACTTATTTTTTTTTACTTAAGAGTATTAAATACCATGCAAGTCTTTTGATAAAGTAAGTGATTTCTAACTCAACGGGTATTGTGCACTACAGCAGAACCTATCCATCAGCTTGCCAGGTAATAGTAGCATTTCTTAGAACAGAACTTTACTCTCAGACAACATTCATCACCCAATAAAACATTCTGAAGTTAAACGGTCTGAAGCCCTTGGGAAAAACTGATAAATTAAGAGGTTTCTGTGGCATTTCCAGAAAGATATTTCTATTGTACTGTCGTACGGCGCAATTTATTAGGGGTGGAGGCAAGAAACCCGAAAAACAAAGCCTTGCTGCTGGACTCTTGACAGTGGAGCAGAAAGACAGAGCTTGTATTTACGCGAGCATTATATCAGGGTCAGATTTGGCAGTCTATTTGGCTGAGTGAAATCAGGAAGTATTTTTTCACCCAAAGGGTAGTGGGAATCTGGAACTCTCTCCCCCAAAAGGCTGGGGATTCTGGAATCCATTCAAATTTTCAAGACTGAGGTGGATAAATTTTTGTTAGGTCAGGGTATCAAGGGATTTGGGGCAAAGGCAGATCAGCCATGATCTAATAGAATTTTAGAACAGGCTCAATGGGGGCTGAATGGCCTACTCCTGTTCCTATGTTCCTAAAAAAGGGAATTCCTTCCAGTGCCATCCAAAAACACCCTTGTGCGTCAACTAGAATATGGCCTGGAGAGACTTGGGAGGAAAACAGTGTGGATACAGGAAACTTAAAACTCCATAGTGTTTGAAGACAGTGAAAAATTAAGCTACAAAAATGTGAAACATTTGTCTAGGCTGGATCTAATGCAGGTCACAGACATGAAACAACGTTCTAATTGAATCCAAGCCAGAGAATTTTAATTCACAGAACACTCCAAATATGCCAGTCGCGGCCAAATCTGCCAACATTACACTACTTGCCGGCTAATAGTCAGTCCCCTGCTTTAGGAATCTCCTTATTTTGCAATCAATAGCTTAGGATCCTTTAAAATTATTTATAGCTGTTGGAAAGTAGACGCTTCAAAAGCGTGTTTAACTCAGATTATAGCTCAAAAACAATTATAAATCTGCTCTGCAAACCTGTATTATTACTGCAGGAGATAAACTTTGCTCCAGTGAACATTTGAAATACTAGCTTCATTGTGACTGTGTGGTGAAGAAGCAAGCACTTCACACTTGTGTAACAAGGTGTGCACTAGATGTAATGTAGAACATAAAATGGAATTAAAGAATCGGTCAAGCTCTGATAGCTTTAAACATTTTAAACTTTCTACAGTTGGGTTATATGGACCTAATGCATAATATGTGGTGACGCAACTTTAGCTTTTGTTTGCAAAGTCTTTTGACCGCACCAATTAATAATAATAATCCTTGCATTTGATATAGCGCCTTATCACGTCTTCGAGACGTCTCAAAGCGCTTCACAGAATACACTGTAAAGTGAATTGACTGTGTATTTTTGTGGCCGAAACGCGGCAGCCAATTGCGCACAGCAGGTCCCACAAACAGCCGTGGATTGAGACGATTGACTCTCAAGTGCAAGTTCTAAGCGATGTACACTGCAGAAATCACCATGTAGTTTTATCAATTCTCAGCCGCCACACCCACACACACTCTCCCCCACGACCATTTCAGAACTGACTGCAATGGCAGTGTGAATTTTACCCCGCTTCACCTTACCTCTCCTGTACTTCCTGCTGCTGAGCCGCGGTCTGCGTCGTCTCGGGATCGCCACCTCCACTGGGTACGTTTCCTGGCGGTCTCTCTGCATTGTTACCTGAGTTGCCACTCTGTACCGGAACTGCCCCGACAGCCCCTCCAAACCCCGAAGAGGAGGAGACCGTTCCTGTCTGATGTAAACTCGGGGTGGTGGTGGTGGTTGTGGAGGTGGTTGAAGTAGAGGATGTGGTCAATGATCCACTGGCCACCCCAGAGCTGCCGGTAGTTACAGTACTGCTGCTAGTGCTCATTGTAGATGTGACTGTAGTGCCCGAGGTCGTCACTGGTGCAGACGTGCTCCCGGGTGCTGGCAGGGCTCCACCGTTTCCGGCTGCCGCTGGCCCCTGGCTGCCAGAGGAGGATGGTGCTGACGGCTGGAATTTCGGTGGAATCAACAAGCTGTTGTCAAGCTGAAGTGTAGCCAAGTAAGGTGCTGGATCAAAGCACAATGTTAGAATTAGGAAATGCAGTTAAAAATCAGTTTCTTCCTTTTGTGTAACTAATAATAACGAGAAGAATAAGAATCCTTGCATTTAATATAGCACCTTATCACTCATCAAGATGTCTCAAAGCGCTTCACAGAATCTACTGTGTATTGTGTGGGCGAAACACGGCAGGCAATTGCGCACAGTAGTGTCACACAAGCAGTTGTGGATTGAATGACCAAATCATTATTTTTATTGAAAGGATTATTACCCCAGAAAGCGATCTGCCAATCGTCTAACAACCGGGTTCCAGCTTACTGCTAGGTAAGCAGAGGCTTGCGGACTAAGGAAACTTGCCTAAGGTTTCGCCCTGCCCAGGAATCGAACCCAGGTCCTCATGCTTGCGAGGCGAGCGCACAAAACAATACATGACAGGACTCCACAATGCCGCATGCACTATCCAGAACTAAATATACATAAATTAGACCATTTGAAAAGCATATGTAGAACAATTAGCATTTAAGCAAAGTCAGCACCAGCCTTTTGGTTTATGTAATGCACTGACAAATAATTCCTTTAGATTACAGAAACGCTGAATGCAGCATTCTCTTTTCTCAGACAATGATGAAGATTCCTCATTACTCACCCAAGTGATGGCGGCAGACTTGAGCAAAAAGCTTCAACTTGGCAAGATTGTCATTCTCGTCACTGAGCCAGGCCTGAGAGAACCATTCATCCACAGATTCATCTGCAAGCTTTTTTGCAGAACTCTTACCAACCCGCATGATACCATCTCTCAATACTTTGCAGATAGGTCTATGCTCACCAAGTCTGCATGTCTGTTGATATGAAAGTTACAGAAAATCAAGTTAAAAAGTATTGAGATATTTTTCATCATTCAATTCACCAAATTATCACTCAGCTTTATTTTTTTTTGTAATATTCCTAGACCATATAGACCTCTATATTTCCCTGAAATTCTTAATGGACCATGATCAAGTCAACTACCAAACTTTTAAAATGATTATTCCATTGATTTAAGTTATCTATTTGTGCATTTCTCTCTTTGGCACAGTTCAGAAAGATTTAAAATGTTTCTTTAAATTCAAATTACAAATAAAGCTAAAATCATATTCAGTTTTAAAACACACTCAGTACGTTAGCCAGCAAAGTAAAGATGCAATTAGTTAATAAGTAGGGAGACTGAGGGTAGCAACAGATAATATTTCCTTCACAAAAATCAGCACAATAAACCCCACATAAGTCATATCAGTTTGGATCATACATTTAATATGACTTATGCAAAGTATGAGTTATGTCAAGCTTGCATAGAACATAAACTCTTGAACGGGGACTTGGGCAGATCTACGACTTGGGCGATTATACGCTTTATACAGATCAGACTTATGCGAGTTTTACTGCACATCACAATGTTAAGCCTTTATTCTGACCTCATACACAGAGCTGAGATCCCTGAAGAAATTTTTGGCTCCAGTGAGCAAGGCCTCATTTTCTGGACAGACCACAATGTAGGCTACGTCACGCTGGGAACCGTATGGCTCCAGAAGCAGCTTCTCCCAGAAGGGCAGTGCAAAGGGGGAAATCATTAGGAAGTCTTTATCGTAACCCAGGAGTAGAGTGGGGATAGGAAGGGGTTCGGGCGATTCCTCTGAACCTGCACAAAACAAAAAGGATGAGATGTTATTCCTTTCTTAAGCAATGAAATGTTTACCAGCTGCATTCCTTGCAATCTCCTTCACACATTGCATTTAAAGACAACAGGATAACATTTAAATATTTAAATTTGCCAATACTTTAGACCAAATATGCCCATCACTATTCCCGACTTGCCGTTGTCATTTGTTATGATGCCTCTTTATGAATTATTTTTTAATAATATTTAAAAATATTCTGACAAATAATTCTTGCATTTTATATAGCGCCTTTCACATCGGGAGGACAATAATAATCTTTGCATCTGATATAGTGCTTCATCATGTTGAGATGTCTCAAAGCGCTTCTCAGAATATATTGTAAAGCGGAATGCGGCAGCCAATTGCGCACAGCAATGTCACGGGGTTTTAATGTAAAATGTAGTGACTGTGAACCTTTGTAGGTAAAAACACATCTACAGTCTTTGGTGATAAGTGACATCACTTTAAGATTAACCAGGCACAATTAATAATGTCTGCAAAGTGGATCAAGTCAAACAGAAACGGATTGATTTCTAAATAATGAAAACCGGTCGTTACCATAGGATCCTCTGCCCGCCATCTTGTGGAACTGCTGCCAGGTGAGAGGTCCTTGCACATGTTGGATATTTTCCCACGTCCTTCCTGTCCGTTTCTTCTGAATGGCATCTTGTAGAAAAGGCTGCAGTGACAAGAGCATGCGGACCACATCCTGGGATGAAAGAACGCTCACATCCAGAACTGCAGGGGACAAAAGTACTGAAGTAAGTTACACAAATAATATTAATCCTTGCATTTGATATAGCACCTTACCGCGTCTTTGAGACGTCTCAACGCGCTTCACAGAATATACTGTAAAGTGAACTGACTGTGTATTTTGTGAGCGAATCTCTGAGGTTTACTTGTAAAAGATACAAACACGATCAACATGGTTACATTCTCTGTAACAACGTCCCATTAGAAGCAAGATTGAGAGTCAAATATTTCTCGTAAAGTGGTAACAAGGTGCCAGTGACACAAGAACATTTTATATTTTTTAATAGATTTTGCCAATTCCCTGTTCCGATAGTGATGCAATTATTGTTTTATGAAAACATCTAAATATTTTCAGAAATTTGTATTCCTCATTATGGAACAGATTTGAAACATTTTATGAAGGATAAACAAAAAAATGTTTTAAACCAAAAACATATACTTAGTTTGGCCAAACAAGGTGACCTTAATAGTGAATTTACACTGTGCTCCACAGTAATAATAATAACCCTTGCATTTCATACAGCGCCTTATCACGTCTTCGAGACGTCTCAAAGTCCTTCACATATATTTTGTGGGCTAAACAGTAGTCTTCTGATGCACAATAACAGCACCTTGGGCTCCACTGCATTCCTCTCAGCAAAGGAGCTGCAGAAGTGATTTTTTAAAAAAAATAGTTGGTTTACAATTACAATGCGTAACACAATCGTTCCTGATCTTGGAAGCAAGTCAAGGGAGAGCGCCAGGCAGAGGTCAGGCATTTTGGAATCTTTCCCTCTGAGGGAAAGAAAACGACACGTACGCACCTGGTAACTCTTGACACACTAACAACTCAACATCTGGCTAAAAGTAGCAGTAGCAGAACAAGCCTGAGAGGCAGCAGGCTCACTGCCCACTTTTCTGTTGTATATACAAGGATCAGCCTCTCTGAAGGAACACAAGTTACATTCAAACTGAATGTTCACGATATCCCCTCAAGAAACACTCAAAGAATGCACCGGTCTCCAGAAATAGCCAAAAAGCAAGCCTTCAGCACGTTTTGGGAGAGAAGCATGTCTGACTTACAGCCAGACAGAAACTCAAAAATATATTTTTACGTCAATAGTCTAAGCCAGGGTTTTAATCTGGTCCACACGCTCACTCCATAACCCGTAAATGTTGTCTGTCACGTTTCTGAAGGCAAACACAAAAATATTGCTTGTACGTCCCGCAGATGTTTCTCAAATAGGGCATCCGGCCCTCAGTAGCCAAAAGGCTGGATGCCCCTGACTAGCGGATTAGGGTACAATAATTAAATCTGAACCATTTGCACAATAAACAAAAATGTCAATCCTGTGGAAAAACTCACCATTAATATTTGGCCACGGGTGTAAACCTGTGCTCCTTATTAGTGATTCATCTACTCTCCCACCAGAGGGGTTATCCACATACTGCCGTCCTTGCTCCAGCGCGTTGAAGCATTCCGTGCAGGAATCGCTGCCGTCTGCCCGTAGTTTGTCATAGTTCCAGTTTGCCGAATGAAGTGCTGGTCTGTCTAAGGAAATGTAGTCCAAAGAACTTAGAGAAGTGAACGGTCCTGTACACTGGTCCTGTATGAGAAAAACTAAGTTTGACGTTGGATCTTGGGGCCTTTTAGACCCATCGATCCCCTGGGGAACTATAGAAGTCCTACACAGAGTCAATCGTCTTTCCGCAGCTTGGCCAATTTCAGAATTCCTTCCGAAGATATCAAACTCGTCCTCCAGAAAGAGACCTGCATTGTATCCAAGCCGGCGGTTTATGACTGCGCTAAATCCACAGGTGCATCCAAACTGCGCCTCATTCGTCGGGTCTGGGATGTACAACCCAACGTCCGCTCCTTTGATATTCATGTTACACGCGCAGATGCAGCAGCTGTCAAAATTGCGATCCTTGAAGAAGTTCATGACCGAGTCGGACAGGATGAGCGTCACGTACAAGCTGTGCGCCTGTGGAATCGACTGGATGGTCGCCGGCTCCACCGAATTCAGTGGCCGCATCGTGGAGGGCGTGGAGGCAGGTGAGCAGAGGTCGGCGCTGTCGTACTTGACCGATCCCTGGCCGCTGGCAGTGCCCCCGCCACGAGGAGTCCGTGGAGTTCGTGGCGTACGAGGCGTTGGAACTGAGAAGCGAGGAGTTGCTGGAGAGGGGAGGATGCCAGCACCACTGTTACTAGCAGGTGCAGTGCTACTTACTGCCAAAGGTGTGCTCACTTGAGGAGTGTTCATTTGAATGTAATCCTCTGTCAGACTCCCAACGCTAGGCACGTTACTGTAAGAATGAACAAGTTTGTGAGATTTTTTTTGCTATGGCAGACGTAAGAAAACAATGACAGAACATGATTTGCAGATATTACAAGCGATGATATGACTGATATGACAGAACTGCAACATTCATCACAGTTTTGTGGTATAGAGTCAACCACAACCTTGCGAAGTATGGAGCCCCTTCAATTCTCAGCTACAAAGATTGTACAACATGGAAACAGGCCACTGGGCCCAACCAGTACGTGCCAGTGCTTATACTCCACACAAGTCTCCACCCATTCCTTTACTCCTTCTCGTACCCTTCTATTCCCCTCTCCCTCATGTGAAGGTCAAACTTCCTCTGGACTGCATGGAAACTATCTGATTCAAACACTGCTTCAGGCAGTGAGTCCCACACTCTCGCTACCCTCTTTGTGAAGTAATTGATCCTAAATTCCTTTTGTTCCCCCAGTCGCTATCTTATATTGGTGCCCCTGGTAATGGACTCCCTAACCAGTGGCAACAGTGCATTTCTGTTAATCGTATTGAACCCTTTTAAAATTTTAAACGCATAGGTTCCCCACCCACCCAAGCATCTCTTCTCTAGCAATAAAAGACCCAACCTTTCCAAAACTTGGTAGTATTAATTTACTGCCTTTTAATACTGTACTTTGAATCAATTTATTGCAGGATGCCGCTAAGACGGTGCTGATAAAAAGTCTTCATAAACACTGAACAAAGTTTGCAATTTTAAAGAAAAAAACCTCGCTGACAACTTTATGCTGGGAGGAGCTGGTTTGCTCAGGAAGTCGATTTGGATTAATACTCTTATGAATTTGGTTTATCGATTTAGTCAAGATCGCAAGAAAAAAACTCTTAAAACTTCAATTACACCAGTTACAGAGGACATGAAAAGTTCCTGCCTGGTTAAACTTTTCAAAGAGTGAACATATCATATGACTATCTATCTCTTTGTTCTCACTTTGAACTTCCTTTGGGTCCATTAGAGTTGTAAACTTGGTCTCTTGTTACAACACTGGAAGATTTTTTTGTCATTATGTTTTACTTCACATCCTCAATTTCTTTTTTGACCATCTGTGTCATCTTGTACTCTGTTCCCTGTAGATCCTTCTTCCTACAAATTTTGTAAATCTTCTCCCACATCCTTCCTTCATTCATTTCCCTGTCAATGTATTCTGGAGCATTTCTGTTTCAAATTTAAACAAAATTTACCCTAGCTGTACCAAAATGTATTTATTTGCCCTGAATACACACAATATGGTTGGAAGGATATCCATTTATACTCAACAGATTTGCCATGGAATTGTGCCCCAAACAGTTAATAAGCTCGGCCCTCACATTCATACATTTGCTCATATAAAAATATATGCTTGGATTATGCATCAGTGCAGTTTCCCCAAAGTGTTGTTTACTATTGCCTAGCAATTTGGCTATTTCTATTCCCTCAATGGTCTACTCGTAAAATTACTGGAAAGTGATGGGAGTCTTGGGGCTCCATGTCAGAAAGGAGTTCAAGTGGTACAACAAGCTCTGCATGTGTGTGTGTGTGGTGTCTATGTGTGTGTGAGGAGGGGGGGAGAGAGAATTGGAGTGTAGATGTGTGAACTGTACACACGAGGAGTGATGTCAAAAGAGAAGTAAGGATAACCTATCCCAATCTTGTTAATCACCTGCAGCCTTTTAAGTAAAAAATGGTTTCGAGCACTTACACATATCCATCCCGAGAAAATGAAGCAGAAGGTGGCACAGGTAGTTGTTCAATTTTGGGAGGGATAGCCCACGAAGGTCGGTACACACAGGCTTCTGGTACTTTCAGTGGAGGCAGGCATTGACTAGGCAGTGCCTTCAGTGGTGCAAACAGTGATGACCCAACAAAAGCCTTCGCTTTTGGCGGTTTATGTACGTAAGAAAAATCCTGGAACACATCATGAAGTGAGGTAATAAATCGGGAAGATGCTGGGACGTACAGTAAGAGCAGGACATAAAGCATTCAAACATGCAAAAGGAAATACATAATGCATCACTCGGCATGTTCCAAAGTGTGATCAGAAGTAAATGAGACACCCTTTAGCAAACATTTAACAAAGAACAGGAAAGCAATTGTAGCATAAGAGTGCCTCAGTATTTTATATATTTTGCTCTCTCGCTCTCTCTATACTAACTTTTATTTCTTCGGGCTTGGGACTGCCCAGTCCATCTTCTACCTCCATTTTGAAATCACTGAATGAAGTTGCAGTCATACTGGTCACTGTGTTGTCCCCACTGTTCATCCCTGCTGCCATCTCAGAATTAACGCCATCTTTGTAATTCATGACAGGAGAAAAGGCTGGATGCTGCTCCAGAGAAGGAGGGGTGGGAAACATTCTCTGCAGATCTGCCACAGCTGCAATGAACAAACTATGTCAAACACTGATCTTTATTCTCACACATTCTAACTTTATTTTAAAAAAGAAAACATTTATAATTAATTTCTACAAACTGCTATATTTGTTTCAACCGATTACAATAACCTCAACACATCATGCGACAAAATAAAAAAATATTAAACATAATACATTACATATGAAACAAAACATCCTAATTCAATCAGTTACTTGAGCACTGGACTTACACCAGGCTGGTTTGGAGACTTAAGTCCTATGGAGTCCACTCAGTTTTTCACCTGTGAGTTTGATAAAAATAAGCACCTTGTCTAAATGTACCTCGCTCATAGCATCTCTCTGATTAGACATAAGGGACATGCCCAGTGCACAATAAGGCAAGTCCACAATAAGTCAAGGTATTGTTTATTCTTCATTTAAGAAAGAACTTGGACGTTGAGGTACACAACTATGTATGTTTAGCGTGTACATGGATTATACAGCAATATCAGCCCACTCGTACGTGCCAGGGTTACTCACAAACTTTAATCAAACTCGCAGATGAAAATACTCCACTTTCTTAATCCACTCCCCGATTCCCTTCTCCCTCATGTCTGCTCAGCAACACTGACGGGATAGGTGGCCGACTATGACACTTGGTACAAAGTGTTTAACATTGGCACAGTGCACGGTTATGATCAGAATGAATACTGCATCTTCATAAAAATGAATAGCAAACTCTAGTCTTTCTTGCAATACTACATTTAAATAGCCCACAGCAGACCATTAGATCTTTTTTTAAAAATATTACACGTTCCCCCCTCCCCCGTCCACCTTCTCACGAGCAGAGCACAGAAAACGTTGACTGACAATCCAATCTCTTACTTGGGGGATAAGGTCCTGTAGTCTTAACATCTTTTCCTATGGGCCTGTCTTCTGATCCCACAGCTACTTGTTTAGATAATCGGGCAGGGGAAGCAGTCTGCAACAGACAGAAACAGCTTTGATAAAAGCGTAACATAATCCGATTTTCAGCTCCAGCACTTCAGGGAAAATTCTTGTTCAGGCATGTGAAAGCCACCTTAAAGCCAGTACAGAAAATGTTACGAGATCAGCAGATTTCACAACTACTCAACATTCTTACTTTGAAACTCTTTGATTACTTTTATAAAATTGGATGTTGCAAAGATCTTTACAGATTTAATATGCAGCGCTGCATTGGGGATTAATGTAATATTGGATCAAGAAAATTTTTTCTCGCCTTTAACTGGCAGAAGCGTAAAATGCTCGAAACACAAAAGGAAAAAAAAAGGTTAATGATTTTGGTATAATGTTTTGATGAATGAATGGCCTTACACAAAACCATTCTATTTGCTCTTTCTGGTGCTGTTTAGAATTGCTGTGAATTTATTTTTTTCTGATTTTATTTCACCTTCCGTCTCAGGGATTAACTTCTGGGAAAATCATTGTGAATTTGAAAGAGTTCTAAAAAATAATTGAACTCTTTCTACATTGATTGGAGAAACACTTTAGGCAAAACTAACAATAACTGATCAGTTAATGAATCCGATTAATTAGAAAAATACTAGAATATTTTGGAAGCTATAAAAGTAAAAACAATTTTCACAGATGGTGTCCATTAGTGCAGATCTGTGCTATTGATCGATTCATATCCACAAGTAACATTGGATTATTAACTGCTAACTGTGTTTGGTTATTGAGCTTATTGAAATAGCAGTCAAGAATGACAATCATCTATTAGTCAAACAGGCTACCAACATCCAAAATCAATTGGCGATGTTTGGATTTCATGAGCAATGGCTGTTTAACATGAAATGTTGTTGCTTTATTTGTGATGGTATTGATTTTTGCAAATGCGCAAGCACTCACCCCATTTTCCTCGTCATCAGAGTTATCAAAAAGATTGTCCAGATCATTCAAAGACACAACCAAGTCAGTCTCTCGCGTGAGGCTAGTTGATCCTGTCCGCCCTGATGTTGGAGACTGCCGTGTTTCTAGAGGGAAGAAATACTTTGCATTTTAGCACGCATTACACTTCTGCAAACTGACACCTCTGATAAATCTTTCTTTTTTCGACCACTTTATTCATCGTGAAATGTGTCTGAATGTATTGTACCTGATTTGGGAGCAGTGTTAAAAATAGACATGGCATCTTTCCCTTCAGGCAACTGTCCAGCATGACCAGGTGGCGTTTCCCTGCTACTAAATCCATCTTCCACCTGAAACAAAGCACACATTGTAATAATAATAATCCTTGCAATAGATAAAGCCCTGATATTGGAGACTGCTGTGTTTCTTGAGGGAAGAAATACTTTGCATTTTAGCACATATTATACTTCAACACCTTGGGACGTCCTCCCACCATAACAGGTGCCACACAAATGCAATTTTGTTGCTGTTATGCAAACTGCATAACCATCTTACAATAGCAAACTGGTGTGATAATAGCACCTAATCACATCGTAGAGCTGTTCATAGTGCTTCACAGGATATACTTTTGCCCACAAAATTGAGTTTCCTCAATTAAAGTTTTGTCTTAAAACAAATCCAAAGAAAACCCATCAGAGAAATCAACTTCCAAGTTTCGGCCTACAATCCCGAAGTTAAATCAAGCGAAACTCCAGAATACTTATCTCGCCATCCTGTATTGTACTTTTTGTTTTGTACTTAAGACCATTTATTTTCTAAACAATGACAAGATGAAGAATAAAAGACTGCATCAGAAATTGAAAGTTCATCAATGAAGATGTTCTTTGCTTTTAATCAATAAAATATATCCAAGAAAAATGGAGAATTAATCAGTCAAAAGTTGCAAATCAACATTTGAACACCCTTCTCCAGAACCAACAGCTACACCCAAGTTACAGTCTGACAGTTCCCTGAAGTAATTTTCTCCCCCCACAGGCACACGGTTTCACCACAAACGCAGTCACAAAAATTGTGAGCAAAAAAACAACAGGCCAAACAGCAGCCTGCGTCATCAAGCACATCCCAAGGTGTTGAAGCATGACAATGCTTCATTTATAAATGTGTGCAGATGCTGAGGATTTGAGGTCAGATATCACATTTGTCGCATCGTGCCTACGGCTTCAATAACATCTAGCTTAAAATAGACACCCACGGTTGCACTACCATAGCTAAATCACAGATAGGGTGACTTTTTTTTTTACTGTTGGCATCTCAGCTCCACATCAGATCAGAGACTGACGTAGATAAGCAGCATTCTACGGCAGCATGTGGTAATTTTAAAGCTTTTAAGAGGAAACTCTTGCAAATTTTTCTTTTTAAATATTGATTGCTATGGGGGTGGTGGGGGAGAGTATTTTCATTACAAATAGATAAAAGGATAAGATCACCACAACACCTTATCCAAGGCGCTCCTTTAACATTTACAAGTGATCTATTTATACACCCTCACACTCTTATTTGTAGCAATTTGACTTTTCAAACATCTAAAGAACATTTCTCTTACTCGAGGAGACTTTCTTTTTGATCTGTAAATTGCTATATCTTTCAAACAAATTCTTCCACCCTGGATGTATTGCTTTAAAGGGCGGCTCCGTATCAGAAAAACAAAATGAACAATTGGAATTATGATCAACACGCGACAGTCTTGTGCGAATCCCAGCATGCGGGAAACATAGGCAGAAGTGTTCAAAATTACGAAGGGTATTGAAAGGGTAAATAAAGAGAAACTGCTTCCACTGGCGGCTGGGTCAGTAACCAAAGGACACAGAGTCAAGCTGATTGTCAAAAGAACCAGATGGAAGTTGAGGAGATTTGTTACAATCTGGAATGCACTGCCTGAAAGGGTGGTGGAAGCAGATTCAATAATAACTTTTAAAAGGGAATTGGATAGGAAGTTGAAAAGGAAAAAAATTACAACTCTATGGGGCAAGAGCAGGGGAGTGGGACTAATTGGATAGTTCTTTCTAAGAGCCGGCACAGGCACAAAGGGCCGAATGGCCTCCTCCTGCGCTGTGGGATTCTATGATTCTAAGTTGGGAGAAAAATGCTCACTCAGCTGGCCAAGTAATAATTTGGCCGAGGAACAATGGAAGCAGGAGGAGGAAGGATACATAAATCAAAGAAATGGACAATAAAGTTTAAACAAGAGCCGAGATGATACGGTTGTGAATTGATTTGAGAATTTTAAAAAGCGACACTGCTGTTTTATCGAGACAAAATGTTTAAACAAGTTAAGGAATTTAGCAACTCTGAGAGACTTAGATATTCCAATGTGTTGTGTTTCTCTTCACAAGAAAATACAGGTCGATTAAAAAATGAAGTCTGGCCATATTATGCAGTTTAATGACCGAAGATCTAACCATCAACTTAGACACATCAAAAATGATGAGAATGCTTTATCAGATTAAGCTGCGTACCAGTGTTTAATGGACCAATGTTCTGTTGTGATTTACCTTGTTCTGTTGTGATTTCCTTGCTGCATCTTTCTCCATTCTATACTTCTTATTCGACGTAAAGCTGTATTCAATGTCACCGTCCACAAAAGTATAAGGATCGTTAAGTTCCCCCGGACCTTCACCATGTTGCTGCATAAGTCTAGTTGGGTCCATGTAATTAAATGTCTGGATGTGCATTTGTATCCTCTCTTCTGAAACTTTGAACCGTTTGTTGGGTTGTGCTAGAAGTCTAAAAAAAACACACAAAATTCAAAGCCATTCTAACCAACCCACCAAAAAAATTCAGTAATATATTTTAAATAGTTGAGTATTTAAAATGGAGATCGTCATTTACAAAGACTAATAATCCTTGCATTTGTTATAGCATCGAAACATCTTAAAGCACTTCACGGGAATTACTATAAAAAGTCACCAGTCAGTAACAACCACGTAAATGAGTGCCACAATCATGAAAAAAGGTTACATTAAAGAAGGATCACTTTCCAGGTGGGATAATAATCCCTCAAAAAAAAATTGTTACTGAATCCACAACTGTTTGTGGGGTACTGCTGTGCGCAATTGACTGCCATGTTTCGCCCACAAAATACAGTGAATCCACTTTAGAGTACATTCTGTTTAGCGCTTTGAGACATCGCAATGATGTGATAAGGCTCTATATCAAATGCAAGGATTATTGTTATTAGCACAAATGATTTATTATCAGATGTGAAATCTCTTTATCTTCCTAAATAAGACGAAATATTGACATTATTCAGTAGTAGCTTGATCTCATACTGACAAGTGCATCATTATGGCTTTCTAAAAAATGCTCGCTAAGTCAGTAATTCTTAAATAGTTAAGTCCCTATTCATTTCAAACATTTATGAGTTTCCAATTTAACTTAAAAAGTAAACACGATTTATCAAATCTACTCCTTTTCGCTAAGGATTATAAACTTAAGTCTCTTCACTGTATTGTGATGGACTTCAGGGAAATCAGCCCTAATTAATTCTTTTCCTAGCTATTAGAGCATTCAATTTTCTCTTCTGGAACAGCGAACCCCTTTTAAAACTTCCTTTTAAGGAAGATTCTATTCTAGACAAACTGTTTGTGTAAGGATCTTTTAAGTAGGTTTGAAACTGATTTTTTTTAAACCAATAAATACCTCGCTGGATTTTTTCCCCCCAGGTTTAGAGCTGTGACGTATCACAGTCCTTCCAATCAATCTGCAAATTATGCGCTCAAAGATCAGATCTGAACCCTGCAATAAATAGTGCACAATAATCTCAGCACAGAGCTGTTTGTAGGCAGCCTGCTTCAGGGCATGTTTCTGGCACCTGAATGTTATCTGGGTCCAGAATTTCTTGCATTTTTGATGGTGGCGATAGAGTAAAGGAGCTGTGTGGAGTCATTTTGTGAAACATTCCACCTTTAACATGGATAGAAAACACAAAACGCCACGAGTGCCTCACATATGAACCTGTCTGCTCCCTCTGCTCAGCAGGCTCTGGCCTGCTCCAGGTCCCCCGTCTTATTTTGTGGAGGAAACCAACTTTACTGGTTCCTAGGTGTACAATGATCACAACACCTGTGATTCACAACAATGATCTTCACACCTGTGTTGCTAGGTTTATTTGAACCAAAATGCTCCACAGACTAGTTGGATGCCGGTTTCAAACCCGACGCTATGGGCAGCAATGAGTAGAAACAAATAGTTAAAAGTATAAAAGAGGTGAAAGAAAATGCTCAAGTTATCCTACATTAATAACAAGAAAAGAACAGATAGTAGTCTTGTCCATCTCCTCATAGGAGTAAAGGAGCTATGTGGAAATATTGCAATTAGAAACATAAGCGACATTGAAAAAAAATCCCCTTGATGGAAGGCGTTAATTGAAGGCTGAGCACATTATTTTAAAAGAATCAGTGTAATTATAAACTCAAAGGCTTTTTTTTAAAAAAAACAGTAGCCTTTCTGAACGTCAAATTGCACTCACACTGTTCAGTGATTGGCAACACGTGCTGGACTTGGCCATTTTGTAAATGACAAACAACGTGTTCAACATCAACTGAGAGTTGCCACAATGTTAATTCCATAAATCTTTTATCAAAGGGGAAGTCACTTAGTGGGTGTAAAATCTAAGCCTTTAACACACTGAGCTCTCAAGTCGGTGTTTACATGTATAATTGCTGTCTCAGCTGGTAATCCGAATAAAGCAGGCAGTATAACTTGTGAAGGGGCTGAAGTTGATTAAATGCCAGGTATAACAGCCCTACCGTTACCTAATAGACTTTCTCCCTAACCACAGAAGTGGCAATTTAAGGAAAAATCCAGACAATAAAATACACATTTGTGCTGCTGATCTGTGGTGGCAATCTGCAAATAGTCCAGTCTCATAATTTATTAAGGCTGGGGATTGTTTGACTTTCCGGACCAAAACTGTACAGCTTTGTTAACCAGAATCAGATCCTTGGCAAATTTAAAAGTTAATTCTTTGTTCAACAAAAGCATAAAATGACAAATGTGTAATTTTTTTAAAAAAATCGAATCAAGGTGGTGATGGAGGTGCAAATTACATTAACGTAAAAGCACCTTGATTGACAATATCAGGCATGAGAATTCTGTCACAGTAATATGCTGAAAATGAGTAAAAGGCTTTTTTCCCCTCAGCACTGTCAATCTGGACTGGTTAAGAAAGATGAAAAGTGAGTCTGCTTTACTTCACTGCAAGATATAAGCCTTTGAAAAGTATAATTTGCATTAAATACCATTTTTCCCCCATTCTACTTAAAATTTGCTGACGTCTGTAATAACGATGGGCAATTTTAACGTAAGCAGCCTAAATGACCACAGTTGCAATTTCAGTTTGTAGTCTCTCAATTCCTGACAAGTCCTGTGCATAATATTTTTTAAATCATTTCCAGACAAATGTAACAGATTTATTTCTGCCTTGGAGTAAATTCTGTGTACTCTCTGTAATGGATGCAATTTTATCCTAACAAAAACCTTTGCTGTACCGCTTAAAAACCTCAGACCCAGTCTTCAGTTTCACAAACAAAAGTGTCGTCAGTTAACAAATGTGAAACCATGGGTTCTCTCTTCAAATAAAGATAAGATTCTGCAAATATTACCGTCTTAGTGCTGAAACATCTGAATTATCCATCTTGTTGTCACATCTGTCACAGTGTAGCTCCGGTGGCCTGAACTCTCCCTCTTCTTGGGTCGGAGTTTTGTAACACTGCCAGGAAGGATTGTCCAATAATTCTGAGTTTTGTGCAGTGATACCGTTGTACAGCGTTGTTTCACTGACCTCCGGCACAGGTGGTAGTCTTTGTGATAAAAGCCCCGTCTTGTCATCGAGGCTGGGAATTGCCTGAAGTTCGAGGCTATTGCCGTACAGCAATGGATTAATGGCCACAGGAGCGCCTTCTAAACTTTCTGCATCTGGCCCTCTCGGCTGCGGACTGAGAGTTGGTGGAAGTGGGGAGATGGGGGAATGAGGCGAATCCATAGGATTCAGATTTAGTGGCTTGCTCTGGTTGCCTGTAGGCCCAGATGCTGGCTTGCCATACTTCCTGTTGCTGTGCATATCTAAGGAGACATCAATGCCAACCAATCCAAGCTTCTGTCCTGTGGGGTCCTGCTCCAAACAAAGCTCATCTGTTAGTGAGGGCCGATGATGAAATGGCGTCATGGGTCGTTTCTGTTGTTTGTCTCCTTTTTCCTGCTTCTCGTTTGTTTTGTGCTTAGAAGAGGCAGACGATGGCAAGGAGGAAGAGGAGGGAAGCCCAGCAGTGAAGCCAGGCTGAGAGATGGATGGAGGTCGGTTTGTGCCCATTGTACTCCGCTGTTTTAGCAGCTTTTGCCTGAAACAAACCAAACCCATGCACATTCAGAGATCACATTCAAACAGTAAAGTGGATAACATTAAATAAGAAAATGAGAATTTGCGAGGCGAGAGAAGACCAAGGTCCACCCAGTTCACCTTCCACCATCCTGGCAGTCGCTTAACAGGTCATGTCCCAAACCATATATTGTATCCTGAGATATTATTTTCTAACAGAAATCTATCTTATTTGTTTTTGAAACAAACAAGGCTTTCTGCTTTCCCCATCTCCCAAGGGAGCCTGTTCCATACGTTTACTACTCGCTCACTAAAGTAGTGTTTCCGCAGATTTAAACATAGAACTTCAAAAGTGGTTTGAGTTGAAACTGGATGAAAACTGAAGTTGCAGAATCAGAAGTAATTACAAACTACTTATATATGTTATACATTGCAAAACTAAACATGTAAAGATTTTGAATGTTAAACTGCATGCTGTACTCTTTAAAAANTCTTTAAAAGACTATTACACCACCTTTTACCACCAAACAACGCAAATTCACATTCACTGCTGAAATGCAAATAAGTTTTTGAAGTTTCATTTACGAACACTTACTGGAAACAAACAGATGTCCAGATGAGTGAGAACAGACACTCGTCTGTATGATATTTAATAAGATCCCAACCAATTCTCAATAAATAGAACCTTAATGAGCAGCAGGAAACAATTATAATCTTTCACCCCTGTGTTTTGTACAAACTCTTGCAACAGTAGTCCTACCTTGAACAGGAACAGTTTACTCTTTGGCCAGGCTCTGTAAAATCCCAGGAAGAAGCATTGCTGGCCACTTCTTCCTCAGAATTTTCACTAGTTGAATGTCTTCTCCTTTTATACATTATACATAGGAAATAAATTGGGTCAGTTGTGCTGTTTGAGTAAACAAATTCTCCTAAAACATTTACATTTTTAATACATACACAGAAGACAAGAGATATGCATAACTCGGTTAAAATTGTGTCGTTTTTTTACACAGCAATGTTTCCCTGGCACTAAACGTGCATTCCTCTCTGACGCTGGTATAAACCCTGCAGCAACAGATACAGAATAAGTGATTCATTGTTTTTCAGCAAATTCAAAATTATACAACGCAACAAAGGCAACATGACTGCACAGAATGCACCATCAGCAGAACTGGTCTGATGCTATTCAACAGAATTTGTTTTCAGTAGATACAAAATACATGATAATTTTTTTGTAAATAAGTCAGCAAATATTTTGATAAATCAGCCCATAAATGTCTGTCCTTTTTTCTAGGAAATAGCCACAGTTCAGCTTTCCTTCTTGAAGGGCTATTATTTTAAAATCTTACCGTCAATCATTGCTTCAATAAAATGTCTCAATTACAATGCCCCAATGTATCAGCTTGCAATATCTTGTTGCACATTCGATTCTATTTTTCACTTGAATGCCATTCCAAAATAACCAGCATTGTTTGGGGAGTAACTGCAATATTTTGCCAAGTCGTCAGGCAACCATTTTGAGCTGAATTGGGAGAGGCAAACCCACTCATCAAATCTAATATATACATCAGGTTGGGGGAGAGAGAAAAGGATGTGATTTGCACAATGGAGTAGAGTTTCAGAATTAATTCAAATCCAGTTCTTTGCCTCTACCCACACCATTATAAAACATGCGCAAAGTGCAGAGCAAGTGAGTTGATAATTCTGTTATTTGTGAAACCAGCAATTACTTATTGAAGGTTTTTGTTTGCAAACTGCTCACCTCTAAATCAGGTGAGATAAGGTACTCGGCACAAGTGGAAATTGTGGGCACAAGACAACGTTCTACTGCTGGTGCACCAAAGACTTTAGTACCACCCTTCAAATGTTCCAACTCATTGTATATTAAACAGTACTTAAATGAACTCACTTAATCTGTGTTTTGTTCAGGTTGCATTCTTTCCAGACTTTCTGAACCATCTGATTGGTTACCCTCTGAGGAATTTTGCCACAGTGTTTTGGGCTCGATGTGTTGACGGTTCCTTCCTGGCCAGGCATATGACTGACCACAGTTTGTGCAACACCATCACCTGGTTTAGAAACAACGATCAACAGAATGAACCTAAAGGTAGTGAAACCAGCCAAGAAACAAGCGTGTATGTTCTAACAGTGGTCTTGAATTTTGAGAAAACTGCGATAAGAAGTTCTGTAAGTCAACCCTAAAACTTGCTGAATGGAAAGTAAAGTTCACTTTTTTTTATTACAGCATGCTACGGCACAACTTCTTTATAATCCAATTGGGTTGTGAATCCTAGCAAGTGGTGACTGACTGACACCCTCATTCGTCTGTCTGTCTGTCCCAAATCTCCTGGGATACAATTTATCAGTCGGAGGGGGATCTCAAAGACTATATGCAAGCAATATTATTATTATTTCTTGGTCCTCAGCCCCTTGAGCCACCCTCAGCTTTATTTATGTGCAAGACCTAGAGCTCAAACAGTGTTTTGCTGAATGTGGGCAAAGTTTTTAAAAGAATGCTTCCTGGATTAAAAAAAAAACAGGAAACAATTATTATGTTCACCATCTCCGATTCATTCTCTTTTACTCACGAGGAACAGTGATTTCATGAAAAAAAACCAGGCTTTCAAATTCCGTGAAATCTGCACTCGTTTTGCGTTTGGAGACACAAAAATGTTTTGGTTTCATTCCCAGCCCACGAGTGAGCGGCAAAATAAATAGCCAGTAAATTATTCTGTTGCTGTTATCCATTTCTGCCACCAGAGGCCACACGAGCATCAAAGAGTGGACAAGCACCAAGTTGGCCTACAAATTTGCATTCCGGCATCTCAATATTTTGACACCATCTAATCATCTAACATCTGATTCATGAAGGGCCAGGAGGAAAAGAGGAAAGCAAGCGTTCAATGCCCGGAGAATTGTAAATAAACATTCGCTTTAACACAAAACAGGTTTGCTAGTAATCAAAGGGATCAGTACTTTGTTTTGTCCTGTTAGATCTCGTTTCAACAAACATCTCTTGCAAAGCCATTAATGTATTTCATCAGCTGCCCACCTACTACCCTGCTTCACATGATTGCATGTAATTGATAATATTCCATGGGCACAAAACACAGGTTTTAGTTACTTGATTATTTTTGATAATGTGAAAGAGCCTTCCATTAAAACAATGAAATGTTTGTAATATAGCAACATCTTTTCAACCTCTTTGACTCCCAAACTATCACTGAATTAGTAAATGCACTCAGAGGGACATATATAAGAAATACAAGAGATATTGAAGAAAAACAAAGCAGTAAAATTAAGCACTTTTCTTCTGGGGTAAGGCAAAATGGAAGTTTTATCTGCTTATTTAATATTTCAGTTGGGATAACACAAAGTATTCCCTTCCCTTGTGAAAGGTACTCCTCTGATTTGGACAAGAAAAAAAACTCTTCAAAACGCAACTTTTGGATCTCTAAATAGATTTAGAAAATACAGCTTTTGGGAATACAGTCAACTCCCCTGTAATCTGCAAAAACAGACTTAGTTGTTCCAGCTAATGTTTTTGAAACATAGAACAGCATCCCAAAAACAAAATTATGTAAATATGTCTACTATGAAGAAAGCACAACTTATCTACTGTTACTTTGCAAACAGTTATTTCGGAGAAGGTTGAAAAATTTAGCTTTAGCTTCCAAAGAAATTAGCTTGGTCAACAACAACAAAAAAATCACTCACAGAATATGATTCCATCTCTATCTTTGTAATAAATGATAAAGATGAATACCATTTTCCTACCAATCTTACATTGTATATTCAATTAGGCAGCTGAAATGTAATAAAAAAAATTCCTAAAATAAGTTTGGATTACCCCATTTTATATAACAATACACAATGGAACAAGTAATAAAACTGACAAAAATGTAGTTACCAAACAGCAAGAACAGGGGGAGCTGCAAGTTCAGAAGTAAAGGGGTGAAACACATCTTGCACATTGTCAGCAAAAATCTGATAAGTAAGGTTTACACAAGGTCACAGCTGTTTGTGGCACTTTTTGTTCCTCCTATAAACACTATTGATAAGCAAAAATAAGTTTCAGTGTAATCCAAATACTCCAATAAAAAAACAAGCTAATTAAAGCCTCATTGAAGCAAAAAGGGCGATGTTGGCTGTTTAGGCAAAAAGAATAACATTTTACCAGAAAGAAGTCACTATAAAACAAATGTGTTTATATCTATGCTTCATATGGCGAGGACAAAATAAATACTAAGTGAACTTAGGAAGATTTAATTATATACGCTACAGGATAATGATCAAAGATATACCCCTACTGTAAGCCCACATAAGGCATAGCAAGAATATCGTTAGTTGGGGAGTGGAATATTAGATATTTAAAATATTCATAAATTGTAAGCAGGGCATTTTAATCCAGATTTTGTTTTTTTATGTACATTAACGCTTCTTTGTTGATTGTAACAAGAGGCACCATAACTGTGACACGTAAACAAAATGTGGAGAAGAAACAGGAAAGCACATGGCACAATATGGGGAGGAGGCATATTTTGTTGCATAAAGCTACCTATATACACTGCTTCAGCTCAGATGGTTAACCGCATTTCTATCACACATTAAAGCCATGAAATACACATGGTTAGCTATTTTCTATGTTGCGTGTAAAAGCTAAGAAGAAACCCAAACCAATAAAAATTATTCAAATATGGAGTTGGATTGTGCGCACTGAAGGTAAAGTACACTTGTAAGATGTGGTGCTGGGCTTTATTGGGTCGATTGTTCAGAAAACGTACATAGTTGTGATAAAAACAGTCTGTGAGCCTTATTGATCTCCAAGCAAAAGCAATCACATCTTATAAAATAGAGGTGCGTCCTGGCTCAAAAATTTTGTCAAGACGTTTTCTCCCATTCTGCTGAACAGTTTAAAGATTCAAAAATATCTATACAACAGGGAGTAAAAACATGAAATCTTTTCACACAGTAAATCTTCTTTCTATATTCCGTTTGTTCACAGATCCTAAAAATAGCCGTGTTTCAAATGATCACAATAAGAGTCTACGGAATTATACAATCAAAAAGGAATAGATGCACTGAAAAATTAAAATTCCACGTCAAATTATCTCCAGATGGGGGGATTGAGTTGCTAAGATTTTGAGCAGTTTATCGACTTCAAAGCATAGAATGATTCACAATTCATAGAATTAATACATCTGTTCCAGAGGGAGAAAAAAAACTGTTGAGACGTAGTTAAATATTTTAAATCATCAAATTTATGCCACTCAACATCTATAAAACTATTTTGATAACTAATTTAAACAAACTAAATAAAGACCTAGAAGTACTGGAAACAGTCCCAATTTCTGAATCAAAATACAACTTGATACATTTATAGATTGCTATCCAACTGTTCCCAATTTCAAAATGTTCTGGTCAACAGATAGCACATGCACTGGCGCTTTGTATAATTTAATAATAAAATAATAATATTCGTTGCATTTGATATAGCGCCTTATCACGTTTTTGAGACGTCTCAAAGTGCTTCACAGAATACACTGTATGTTTTGTGGGCGAAACACGGCAGCCAATTTTGCATAGCAGTGTCCCACAAACAATTGTGGATTGAGTGACCAAATCATTATTATTTAACATCGCACAGTTCAAAAATACAAGGAGGAAAACATAACAAAAAACAATTATTTTTTTTTAAAAAACATGAGAAATTTTTTGTACCACAGATATAATTAGGTTCTGGGATTGATTAACCTTATCACCCTTGCATTCGATATCATGCATTATCACGTGGGAACGTCTCAAACACTGATCTACTATTTATTGCAGCTTAAACACTTTAAAAGATTTTAAAGGGAGAAAAACGTCAAAACAACATATGCCACAATGAACGTGTTTGGAACATCACATCAACTCATAGGAAAGAACAGTGCAACAGTCTGCTGAAGAATTAAATCGGAAAGAACGATTCATGATTTTTAATATTTGGTTTTAAAACAAAGTCTAAGTTTTAAATGCCTACCCAACTGTTCAAGAGACCAGTTTTTAAAGTGGTCAATACTCAACATCATTCATTCTAGCTCACAGCTTTCAGAGAAACTCTCGTTTTAAGCTATAGATCAATTTGACAGGTCTTAATGTACTGGTAAAACCAGGTAGCAATCAACCCTAAAGCACTTTTCATAGCATTTATTGTCCAACAGGACAAGTTTGAGATTATTCTGATGATAAAGGTTAATAAGCCTTGAGCTTTGTATACCTAGGGATGTGCTTACAATTTTGTTTTGGTGTCACTACAACTTTTCCGAACATGCATTGATTCGTACATGGAAACACTGGACGCAGGAGGAGTTATGTTGAAAAATGGCAATTAAGTGTCTCGCTGCAAGGTACAGACTGAAAATAAATTCATGCCAGTGGGTGGAGTCAGGGCCATTAAACACAGAACAACATGAATTCCTGCAGAACAGCCTCTGCATGTTCATCCAGATCCATCACTGGTCAGGTTTTTCTCTTTGACCGAGCCTTCAGCTCCCCTCTCGACTCTCTTCCCCCTCCTCGCTCCCTCCCTCCCTCCCCTCACCCTGACCATTTCCCCCCTGCTCGGGTCATGACCCAACTGTGCAGCGCCTTGGGACGTCCTCCTGACGTGAAAGGCGCTTTATAAATGGAATCTTGTTGTTGTTGTTGTTATCACTGCGTTAAAATGCTGGGATGACTCTTTCAAACAAAGAAAAGCACAGTAGAGTTTAGACACCATTAAAACGCACTGTTCACTTGAACAGGTTCAAATCCCAATTGGTATCAAGCAGTTCCTATTATTCCCATTTACAAGCACGGGGTAGGCCATTTCAACCTATAATCTGGGGTAACTTTACTTCCAATTAGAAAAAAANTTGTCCAGCTATGCAATGTCTTGTTTAATATCTCCTGTTCTCGGATCATAAAGCTACCCCAGATTAACTCAACTCTGGTCATGTTTTATATCAAGACGATGACTGTAGCTAATTCAACCCCTACAACAACCCTTTAATCCTGAAAATCCTCTAAAAGTTACACAACATAATTTCTTCTGAACAGCCATTCTACTGTTCATAAGGCTTTGGTCCAATGCCTCGATTTAAATAGTGCTTATAAGTCACCGACAGATATCTTGTAAACCATATTTACTACAGTACTATGATTTTTTAAAATCTCATACACTTGAATAGCTAATATTTGGTGTTACTGATCGTTTCCGAAAGCTGTTGTTGAAATTGGTAAGGAATCAACATAATGTGATGCTCAATGAGGAACTCACATAGATCTGTACTCAAAATATTTACAGGCTTTAAATTTACTGCCCTTGAAAAATTCTAGAAATTTTATATGTTAACAGGGTCTGCCGTCAGTTTTGGAAACATGGCGTCTACGTTGAAACTTTCAAATGCTTGAAAGTTTGAAGGTTTAGGGTCACAGTGGCAGATGTTACACAGAAGAACATCTGTAAGAGATCCTGATGGATTTAATCTGCCCACAGCCTCAAGGTTTGTAGCCATTACAGCCACAAGAATGACCACCAGCTCCTCCTCTTGAAAGCCTTTACAATTCTACCATGAGTAGGAAATACATACAGAAACCTCCCTCCCTTCAAAGAAAACACAAACTTAACCAGAAACATTAACAGTTCAGGTGATTGTCACCAAGAGAAAGAGTGTCATTTGGGAATCTGGCAACATTCAGGTGTCTAGAGTCTAAAAATGAAGGATGGTTCAAGCCTCAATGACCAATGACCTCTCTCCTACTCCCACACTACCTAAAACGTAAGGCCACTAACACCTGACACCAATTATTTTTCCTCTCTGCCTCAACAGTCTGATTTTCTATGTGGGATTGGTTCACAAAGTCCTATGAAATTATTTATTTTATTAAGATTCCAAACTGATACCCTTCAGGAATGGTGATGGGTTTCTCCAATGTGTCAAGACACTGCTACAGAAAAAAATTAAAATGCAATTCTAATAGAATTCTAACTGCGTCAACCAACATTAAGCATTGTATCGCAGGAGTCTATTTGCAAATGACATAAATTCGGGCAGAAAAAAAGCAATAGCTCAAAGAGAAATCTCAACATAAATAGAATATTCAGCTGTCATTCTGCTCCTTTGTGAATTATGAGGTCAGGCCACTTTCATATTTGAATTCAAATAGCTCTAGCATTGAAGGAAAAGAGCGTGAGGGCAGTCTGAGAGGAGCTCTCGTGAAAGACCAGAAAACACTCAATTTGATAAATTTACTTTCAGTAACACCCAGCAACAGTCCAGATTGGTTCCATTAGAATCTATATTAACACTTGGCAGAGTGGTGTATGTAATTTAAACTCAAGATACGCAGGCACCAATGCAAACAAAAATCCTCTATAGGGCATCAAAACTTTCACATGTCTAAAGTCCAAATGTCAGTAAATATTTGTCAAATGTTCAACGGAGCAGTGGATTTAAAAAATGTAGCCAAACAAATACCAATCAAAAGAATGAAGTAAAACAACAAAAATCACAACAGAAAAATTAAAAAAATTACGAAAAAACAAAAATCACTACCTATTGCACAGTAAATAGCCCAGTGATCATGAAACCCAGAGTAGACCAACTCCGAATACTAGAACAGAGAGCTTTCTGCCCTCTCACCTGATTGTCTGTACTGTACTTGGCCTTTTTTTATATTAACTCTGTGCTAGGAGATGGAGATACATGTGCAATCTGTCCAAGTAACAATCTGCTAGTAATTTGTGGGAAACATACCTATTATGGTCTGTTCAGGCGAAGTGGGTGGGGTGAGTGGCATTCCACAGTTGATGGTATCTTTCATGCTTCCAGGTGCTGCAGTTACATTTGTATGGCCTCCTCCGTTGGTGCCACTTGGAACCACAGGGATATCGCTCTGCGGAATCAGCACAAAAGCTGAGGGATACACCATCCTTACTCCACCTGGAATGTATAAAGAATAAAGTGTTTTTTCAAAGCAAAAGCATCATGATTAAAATAAATCTCCAAAGGAAGAAGTAGCTTGTCTGAGTTTATCCAGTACAGGTTGAATAAATTACAAAATAAAAGTTTTGATTTATTCTAATCCCATAGACAAGGGTACTTCCCCCACCCAGCATCATCAGTCGGGCCTTCAGCCTTTCTCCCCCACCCTCTGCAACTCCATCCGACAGTCCGTTCACCTCACTTCCTCCCTTGCCTCCTTCAAGGCCCATATCACAACCCTCCTCTTCGACTAAGCCTTCGGCCACCCACCTACCTCTGTGTAATTTATGATAAAATCCAGCCCAAATTATAGGTACATTGTACCAAAGGTCTCATAATCACGAGTTAGGTGCTTATAAAGAAAATTGCTCTTGCAGTAAAAATTATCATTTAAAATTATTAATGCAATGACACACAAACTTTCTGCTGCAATAATTTGTTAGTAAAAAGCCAAAGGGGGTTCACGATCAAACAAAGAACATTCCAACTTGTTAGAACAATAATCAGAGAAAAATAGAACTCGCTACCTCCATGGCTTTGACCAGCGATGCTAAAATTCAGTATGGTGTGTTATTTAAGTTTTCAAATGTTAATAAAGACCCGTGCCACTGTTTTAAAAATGAATACTAACAAATGTAACAGAATTTGCTTCTCTCTCAAAAATACACCATTTCATACTAATACATTTAATCCAATTATCTTTCTTAGATCTGTGTTTAAAAACATTCTAAACTTGAATGTAAAATGCTTACAAACCATTTTATTTACTTTGTGAGTTTCATTCAATGTGTTCTGTGAAAGAATGTTGACTTGGCCGATGCAACAATTTAAGCCTAGTAACGGAACAATAATTCCATTTGATAATTTTCAATGAACTTTAAAAGAAGTCTTTCCTCTGCGAAACATGGAGAGTATACGCATTAGGAAGAACGTGAATTTTGTTTAAACTCTGCCAACAACTAAATGCGTTTGCTTTGGAAAATGGGGGAAATCAATTATAACCCTTGATCTTATATTATATATAGCAGGGCAACTCTTGAATGTTTCTTCATACTGTTCCCATAAGCGCCAAGCCAACAATACCTACCCACAATAACCTCAACTGCAACAGGAAAGTCATCATCACAGTCCAGCTCCTCTTCCTCTTTTGTTTCCTTCTTCTTCAAGACCATGGGATAGAAGTATTGCCATTCCTCAATGAGTTTCCTGGTAGCTGGATCAGACATCTTGTACGTTTGGCCTGTAAGGGTTCCACTCAGTCCAAAAGGACTAATGATGACTGCAAGAGGCAAGAGTATAAATAGACTGTTCAATCTTCCTTCCAGACATTTGTTGCTGATGCCAACCTACATAGCAACTAATCACTAAAAACAATAAACTGATGCAAAACATCGATGTATGAAAACGAATCTGCATTAAAATAAATTGAAAGTGTGGATTTTTTTTAAAAAAAGTGGTAATGCAGATTTTTTTTTTTTAAAAAGTAAGAACAGTAAGAAAGTTCACTCAAGCATATGGAATCCCCCAAAAAAGTAAATATATTTTATGTAAAAGCTGTCTATTTATAAACTGACCATTTACTGTATGCCTACATTAAAAACTAATTTCTGGGCAATTCCCAATTCTGGACTACAATCATTTAATAAATCTAGCATTTTGTACAAATAGAAAGCTTCCCCACCCCCCATCCAAAATAAAAAGTCCAGTTTTGATGCTAAGTGGTCAGCTAATTTATTGGGATCTCAAACCTGCATTTATTCTCCACAAGTTTGTCTAGTCTGAATGTTATGGATGAAGGTCCCTTTTCAAACATGTTAAGGCAGTCGGCCAGTGTTGATATATAAAATATTTACAGACTTCGGGTACAGCACGCTGGTAATTCCAAACATGCCTTTTTCTGTTAAAAGGAATGCAGACGAGAGGAAATAACCTACATTTTTAAGCTGGAGCATGCATTGCTTCCTACAGACACAAGCAGGATATGAACAATTCTGAATGTGCCCACTTAGCCAAAACCAAATGCTGGATCGGGGAGACTTGCATTTAGATAAATCTAAGGAAAGCTAAAATATCGATTTGTTCCGACTGCTGAAAATTTCTATTCATTGCAACATTTACTCTACTGTAGTTTGACTAAATACATTCAATATTCGGAAGCTATTCAAACCATTAAAGCAAGAAAACAGAGTGTCTGTGCATTATAGTCTTGAATGAGTGGTAATTAAAAAAAGGTCAAAAACTAACCTTGGAAAGGAGAGGTTGCTGACAGAGCCACATTGATGTGCTCTTCGTTGACAAGATACACAGGCTGGTGCTGGGCAATCTCAACACTGGTGCAGACATTGCTCTCACCATGCAGGAAGAAGGAAAAGGAACAAGAGAGATGCTCACTGTAACAGGAAAAGGAAAAAAGCCGATTACAAATTATGGAAAGTCAGAACTCCATTTCGCCTTCATGGAAGGGAAACGCAAACGCCTTCCAGTCAGCCAGTTTTGGTATTGGTGTTAGTCCAACTATTTAAAAACACAGAAAAGTGAACTACGAAAATACTGGTAAAAAATGTTCACCGTGGGAAATAAAACAGAAGACTGGAGTTTATTTAACTTGCATTTCACGTCGGAAATACCAGAACCATGATGGCTATGTGTATTATGAATGAACCTTTTAAACTTAGTGGAAGCTTCTATTCAACCACTAGCCTTCAGCTAAGTTTTACACCGACCTTGTATGTTTTACAGTCAAGTTAGGAGTGGAAATCAGACGGCGACATAAACCCGAGGCACTGCAGACTATTAAGGATTATGATTTTGAAAGATAAAAGATGAGGGGCAATTTCTGACCATTCATTGAAAATTAATACCAAATCAGGTTAATTATGGGCATCTATTCAAAAGTTAATCTAGCTGAAGATCGATCATCAGTGATCGTTTGAAATTTTGGGCACAAAAGAATTGCAGTGGAATTCAGGTTCCAGGTTATACAACACACAAAGTTACATTTGTATAGCGCATTTCACATCGGAGGACGTCCCAAGTCGTTATGAAGAGAACCCACGCTCCTTTTCATTAAGACTGAGGCAGAACCAGGTCAGACTATTTAAATGTTAATATACTGTACTTCCAAAAAGATCGACTTATGTAACCTGAAATGTCAGTCAGTGCACAATTTGAAAACACAAGGATAATATTAACGAGCCTCAAATAAAATACAAGATCAAAGTGAATTTCCTCTCCCAAGCCTTCCCAATTAGGGTTGAATTGATTGTATACATTTTGCGAGTGAAACATAGCAGCCAATTGCACACAGAAGCATCCCACAAACAGTCATGGATTGAAATGACCAATTTATTTTTATTATTTTTTGAAGGAATTACTACCTTCGGAAAGCGATCCTCCAATCGACTGACAAGCGGGTTCCTACTTACTGCTAGGTAAACAGAGGCATGTGGAGTAAGGAAACTTGCCCAATATTTTGCCCTGATGGGAATTGAACCCAGGTCCCTCGCTTGTGAGGCGAGTGCTCTAACCACTGAGCTACAGCATTCCATGTCCAATTTTCTAAGTATAAATAGACTTTATCACGTGGTATGGAACGATAGCTTCTCAGGCCGTGGAAACATCATACCAAGGAAGGTCTGAGACACATGGGACTAATCATTAGTCATTGTATGACAGCCTGTGATTTATATAACCTAGCATAGTGAGCATTAATTTGCCCAGAAGTGATGCCTTTCAAGAATCATGCCATTAGTTAAGGTGGGGGAGAGGAGTAATGCGTTGGCTGTGAACGTGTTGTACAAACAGGTGGCACTCAGTAGGCTGTTCATTCTGATGAATTAAGTGCCATTTTGTAGAATGTGAGAGATTAATACAATGGAGTTGAAGCAGGGAGGAGATACGGAGCAGTTATATTCAGCCCTAGCCAGACAGCTCTTAAGTATTTTTCCAGACTTTTACCCAAAAGGAAACAATCCTCCAAAGCAATACATAGGTTTGGAAAGTTAAATCAATACAATTTATGGAAGGTTCAGGTTGTTGGCGTAAACGGCCTTTTCATTGTCTACATTTTCTTGTGGACTCATTTGGATACAAGTCTATTTGGAATGAAGGCGAGATGGAATCACATCAAATGACTGAAAAAGCAGCTATTCTAAGCTTCTAAACAGCTGCTGGCATCTGAGAAGCACGAACATCACTTTGTTAGAAGTGTATGTTGTGGTAACTTGGAACCTGGTAAATTCCTTTAGTTTTTTTTAAAAAAAATACCAAAACTGATTGCCAAGTAAAGGGAAAGTGGTATCAGCAGACTTAAATGTGTGAAACTCCCACATTAACACGATTTGTGACCACTCAAGTTTAGAAACGGTGCTTACAAACAAGGACAAACGTACTGGATTTGTAGTGCCTTGCACAAAACCAGCTCCAGCAAAATGGAATTTAGAGCTCATTACAACCAGAGGTTTTTTCAAAAACATGTTGTACTTTTTCCACAGAGGGACTCGCTTGTTTAAATATTTTTGAAGTTTTTGAAACTCAGCATAAAGTGCAACAGATGTTGAAATGTCATACACAATCAGACCTAGAAAAGAAACACCATTATATTTGCTAATCCATAAAGGGAGCCAACATGCATAATGAGTAATTTGCGACCTTGGATAAATATCAAATGCAACTCTCCTGCGCTGGATTCCAGAACTCAATTCCCTTCTTATTAAGAGACCACGTTTGCTTGAGAACTGCATCAATACATTAGTTTCGGTGGCTCTTCCCCTGCAGAATCCTAAAGAAAGGCAGCTATCGCCCGTCTGTATGATATTAGTAAAGACGTTGGTAGCAAGGAAGAAAAAGTACACAACTACTGACGGGCTCCAGAAGCAAAAAGTCTAAAGGCATGCCGAAACGCACTGTCATCCAACACATGTGAGGGGTTGACCTTTTGTGTATGTGAAGCCCAGTAAGCAGGATTCCAGCCTCCATAACAGATGCCAGATTTTTATAGTGTCAAATACCAAAAACAGAACACAAAAACATGTTCAAATGATTTACATTCTCAATCTCGCACCACAGTAGACTGTGAGTGCCACTGAAACCATCACACCACACATTACAAAGATGTGTATCCCATTGTGACAGCTGTTATAAGCTACTTTAAGTGATCAGATCAAGCCATGGGTGGATTTTGCATCTTAACGGTGTGCTTTATAAAAAGCATCCTTATTTCTATACTCTAATTCAAACAAGATCTGAAGGCCTACATACATTATAATTCAGTATAATCATACAACTGTTACACAAAATAAAATGAAAAGCTGAACGCTTTGCAAGAAGTTTTGGATTTCAGAATGATTATTAATAAGAAGAATCCTTGCATTTGATATAGCACCTCATCACATCGTTCAGACATCTCGAAAAATTGTTGTCAACAGTTCAACAAAATGATAGTCAATTTCACAACTATGTGAAAGCTCAGCTCAGTTAAAATGACATAAATCTTTTCGCAAGAATATTTTTGAATGTGCTCATACCACTGAAGCTAGAATGGAGATGATGGATATTCTAAGATAAAAAGGACATGCCAGTTTAAATAATAGTTCCTGCAATCTTTCTTCATCATAAATTCACGTGGGACGTCCTCCAGATGTGAAAGGCTTTATACAAATGTAATTTTGTTGCTGTTGGTTAGCCAGATTTAAACCATTATGTGTAACAATAACTTGCACTTATTTCGTACCTTTCATGCAAAATGATGTCTAGAAACTTTTCAATGAAAGGAAGGAGATAGTGACCAGTGAGCACAGAAAGGAGAAGTTAAGCTTGTTGATGAAAAAACATGGTCGAAGAGCTGTGATTTAGACTGGATTTTGAAGGCAGGGAGAAAAAGGAACAAGACAAAGGGATTTGGGGAGAGTGTTCTAGGAAATGGGGGCATACTGGCAGAAGGCTCAGCCATCGATGGTGGGTCAAGCGAGTGAGAAACAAGCAGAGTTAATTTACCAGAGATTGCAGCTTGGGAAGCAGAGCTGGAGATGGAACAGTGAAGGATTTGAAAGTCAGGATAAGGATGGTAAAGTCGATTTGCTGTGGTAATAGGAGCCAGATTAGGTAATGGCTTTGTGCTGCCTAGTGTGAAGAAATTTGGATGAGTTGGAGCTTGTGGAGGGTGGAGCTACGGAGGTTGAAGAGTTTAGTATTGTAGGAGTCTAAACTCAAGGTACCAAAGGCATGGATAACTATTTTGGCTGCAGCAGGGCTGAAATAGGTATAGAAAAGAGCAATGTTCCAGAGAAAGTCCAATAACTATGAAGATTCCAGCAATCAAAATATGCACATAAACAAAAAAGCTAATTTTTTGCAAGCTTGAAAGTTTATTTAGCATTACTTTGTAATGTGAAAAAAAAGTTAACATTCAACATCTTATAATTCATCTTCTTTTGTCCTCCAGAAACACCACCAGAACAGTTTCTAGAAACTACATTTATGGAACGCCACTCTTATGCAAAATATTTGAACTCCTTCAGTCAAACCAAACGTACATTCAAATTTGATCAAATACATATATAGCATTAGGATTCTGAAGACTAATAGAAATTTTGTATAATAATGGTCAATACACATTCAGAATGTCATTAAAGACTTATTTAAGTGGATTTATGTGCTAATCACCACCAGTATTGATATAAAGTATTCCAAGGTCAGATAAAATATCTGCCAGGGACAGAAAGCTATCTCGAGTTGTTGCAAGCTAACCTGTTATCGGAGACACACAAACAAATACTGCAGTGTGAACCTTCTTCCAAATCAGACACGTGTTTAAATTGCAGAACTATTTGAAGTTACAGTAATGAAAGCTGCCTCAGGATACTGAGGAATTCATCAGGTTAATGTTTTGACAGGTTCCACCACAATTTGAATAGCAAAGTTTTACAGTTGCGATTTACAGCTTTGTTTTGATTGTTTTGCTTTCTCCAAATGCCTGGACAAGGTCCATATAGGCCAGTATAAAAAAAACTAATCACAGCAATGCTTGGATCCAAAAAAGAGAAAGCTGGCAATTCCTGGGAACCCTGCTGGAACGTGCACGTGTGTGGACAGGATTGGCATTAACTAGGATCCACTTTCTCTCTTGAATCAAATAGGCTGCCAACACTGTATAAAGAACGGACAATTGGGGGAAAATACTAGAGGTGGCTGGTGCCTGTGAAGTGGTGGTCAAGGTGGAGGGGAAGAGAGTTAAAAAAGCAAAACAGCAAATTATAATGTTCCAAAATAAATATTGAAAGTAGTCTGCTATCTTTATTTTCCATCATGTGAGAAAGCATTCACACCAATGAATGGAATTTGAGGAAAGCAAAAGACATACTGCCCTATTTTTAAATGGCTTCTAAGCTTC